AGGTGCCAAGGGGAGATGGGCCGGCAGGCGGGAGCTGCGTGGGCAAGAGGCGCTGCAGGAGACCGACCGTGCAGGGTCGGCTGGTCGGCTGTGATGAAACTGGTGTGCACAGGGGAGAGGGTGTGGATTCAGACAGGAGTTGTTACTGAGATGGTAATCATAAGGTAAGTGGCCAGGGGCCAAGCAGTGGGCAGGGCCGGCTCCAGTTGCCAGGCGCACTGTCACAGACAAGGGGGGCAGAAAACCTCAGCGAAACGCAACACCGCAAATGACTCTCACAGAGACGTGTTGTTCCGACACCTCGCTGGGTCAAAGGAGCCCATTTTAACTCGGGTCAGCCTGGATTGAACTGGACACTCCTGTCCCCAAGAAATTTCATGTCGTCTTAAAGGGCTGGGCCTCCTCTCTGTCTCCGGGCGTGAAACATTCTACTCCAGCTCAGCCAGGGGAGGAAGTTTTTTAGCTCAATTTCTCTGCTGACAGTTTGCAAAAACAAAGGCGCTTTGCTGGGGTGTGATCTGTGGGTGGGGGGACAGCTCCTCCAAAAATGAGATGAATCATGAGCCTCCTCCGTCTCTGATAAGCTTAGAAAAATTCCATGAGCAGCAGTCACAGAAACTACCTTTGACTTTCAGTTCAGTGCCAGACCATGAAACAGCACAGCGTATCCTGCTAAACCCTCACAACCCCAAGAAACAGACACCATTACCAGTCCCAGTTCACTGATAAAGAAGTTTGGCTTGGTGAAATGGATAACTAATAAGGTCACGTATTAGTGACAAGCAGTGGTGAACCTCTTTGCAGGGCTGGGCATCTGTGCTTCGCTGATGCTTTCCCCATGAGTGAAAGAAAAGCAGGAGAAACCACGGTGCCGCAGCCCCGCGGCGGCGGCGGCGGTGGCAGTGGCGGTGGCGGTGGCAGCTGCCACACCTCCGTGGGCTGCCCGACAGGACTGAAGTCTATCATTTCTGCTAGTGTACTCATGGCCACAAAAATGGAAGCGTGCCATCAGGTCATGTTTGATACATCTGGCCGTCAGGCAGGGTTTTGCCATCTCCTGGAACACCACGGGGAGTGGAAGAGGTCGGTCAGCTTGTGTGGTTCCTTGTACGGACACAAGTGCACAGGTGCTCTCTCACTAGCAGACTCCAGGTTCCAACTCAAGTCTACCAAAAGGCCTTGGAGACCATGAAGAGGGTTATAAGCCATGGTACGGTGACGTGGGGCCGAAGTACATCTTAGGGGTCAGAGCGATCCTGGCGAGGATACCTGTGCATCCAGCAAGGAGTGTGTTCCTGGACTTGAGGTTCACTGATCAAACCTGTTGAACCAGCAGACAGCCTGGCTGCAACCAGGTGGCAAGGGTGAGAGAGAGGTGGAGCCCACAGCTGTACTCAGAAGCAGCAGGCAGGCTGATGCTACCGTCTCCGGGGACAAACATGTGGATCCAGAGGAGACAGCCTGTGCAAGCAGGGTGCTGGAGGGGTGGGTGGGATTTGAACACTAAACCAGGTGGTGAGTTAGACCAGTGACCCCAGTGCTGGATGAACCTACAGGTGGCAGAAGATGCTGTGCAGATCTTCGTGGGCTATAATAACGAACATGGCTTCTTCCGGGAAATGCTAGCAGCCCAAGTCACGAATCTTAGTCAGCCTGAGAACAAATTAGGTGGGGCGTGGAAAGGGCCCTGGCTAAGGAGCTCACTTGGTTGCAGTGTTGTCCCAATACCCCAAGGCTGCAGGTCTGATCCCCAGTCAAGGCACGTGCGAGAGTCAACCAATGAATGTGTAAAGAAATGGAACAACAAATCAGTGCTTCCCTCCACAACAGGGACTGTGTAGAAGGCTGGCAGAATTTCTGGGTGTGGGTGTTATAATTACAAACAGCTCTGCAACTCAGATGCTTTCTGCAGTGTTAGCAGAACGGCGTGCTGAGATACTCTGGGGGCAACCAGGGCACCCCACAGAGACCTGGCAGTGGAGAGGCAAGTGAAGATGTGTAGGACTCAGTGGTGTGTAAGACGGCTGCAGGCAATAACACACTTATTATCATATCACGGTGTGAGTGCCACCAGAGGCTGAAGGGCCCAGGGAATACCTGCCAGGTAAGGGAGGGGCTATAATTAAAACCCAGGGCTGGTCCTGACTAGCGTGGCTCAGTGGGTTGGGCATCGCCCCGCAAACCCAAATATCACTGGTTCGACTCCCAGTCAGGGTACATGCCTAGGTTGCAGGTTGGATCCCTGGTCTGGGGTCATACGAGAGGCAACAAATCGATGTTTCTCTCTCACAAAGGCGTTTCTCTCCCTCCTTCTTTCTCCCTTCCCCTCTCTGTAAAAATAAATAAAATCTTTAAAACCAAGCTCTGTTTGATTCCAAATCCCACTCTTCCTCTGATGTAATCTGGAGAAGTACCATGTGGGGGCTCAGTAGCCGAAGTGTGACTGGCTGTGCGGAGAAGGCCAGCCAGCACTCCTCCCTGTGGGGCCACGCCCCTTAACCTCTTACTTCATCCTCCTGAGCGCTCGGGGTTTTCCATGTCCATTTTCCAGAACAGGGGCCAACAGTTTTCCTCCTGCGTTTTGGATCAATACTGAGTTAACTCTAAAACTGGCGTGCCCGGCGGACACTGCCTCCCAGCCCCACCCGGGGATTACGTTTCCCGAGCTGACTCACTGTATCTGGTCTTCATCCACGGACAGCCCCCCTGGCAACGCCCCTGAAGGCACCATCACGCCACTGGATCTCTTTCCATCCTCTGGGATTTCCACTTGAAAGGCCTTCTGCCTCAACGCCCAGGCAACCTTGCCCTCTGTGCCTGGGAGGGGTCTGCTGCGGGGCTGAATGGGGGTCCCCACCCTGGGATGCTCTCAAGTTTTCTCAGGGGAACTGTTCACCTGTACACACCACCCCGCCCCCACGGTGCAGGAGCTCCTGAGCAAGGCCACAGCAACAGGAGCTAAACTAAAGAGTTACCGGGGAGGCGACGCTTAAGGGAAACGGCCTGGCCCACTGTCCCCAGCAAAGCCGGCTCCTTCTGTGGCTGGGAAACGCTGGAAGTCAGCGGAGGGGAGTACCAGGCGCCGTAGGAGTCGGCGTGGAGTCTAGGATGGCTCCTCAGTCTGGTGCAGAGAGGACAGCAGTCAAGGCTGCGGGGAAAAGGGGTCATGCCGCTTTCCCAACACAAAGAGCAGATTAGTCAACGTGGAAAAAATTCAGCGAAGCCGAAATCCTTCCCCAACTCCTGATCTCATGAAATCAGCTGGGACAGCAATCCACCCTTCAGGTTCTGGAAAGCTTTGACCTGCGTCATCCACCAGGCCCCCAGAAAGGGTCCTTCATCATAACTTCAGTGTGTGATATGAAAGCCAACTAGAGAGGAACGTGTCGGAGAGGAGGTGAATTGGGAAGAAAAACATGAGTTTGGGGAGAAAAAAAGAGGCCAGTGGCATTCATCTGTTGTGCAAGATCCTGCTCTGGGGTCAGGGGACAAACAGCTCTGTCACCGGGGAAGTGGCCTCCGGTGAGGAGAGAGGGTTTTTCACCAGGCTTCACAGAAACCCCGATAAACTCCCCCCACAGCCGTAACACTTTTACTGTCATATCCTGTGCGTAGGCAACAGCCTTCTGCTGACAACACAGACGCCCGAGAGCCCTGCTCTGCGAAACGGTGGCAGCTGTCCTTCTACAGACTGGGACGGGGGACCCAGGCCTTCATGTCCCTGGAAAGGGACACCCTCTCGCCGCAAGTCCTCCTGTGGGAATTCTAACGGACCTGTCGGTCTGCTATCAGCTCAGCGGGCATCTGACTGTCACTGGGGGCCAGTGGACAAAGAAAATGCAGGTGTGGGACCTCGAAATCCAAGAACTGGGCTGAGCCCTGAGCTCAGGGACCTCTCGGAGGTGCCACTTGGGCCCTGTGCGTGACCTGCTGCTTCCCATCGGCCCCCACCCCTCAAAAGAAAACACCCTTTATGCATCAGGATGCTTAGCAGATCCCTTTCTGGCCTGAAATGGAGGCCGGTGCTGAGCCCCTACTCACCGTGCGAGGGTGACAAGGAGATGACTGACGTCCTCCTAGTCATCTCTCCAGCCCCCCAAAGCCAGGACCTCACCTTTGCTTGTGGGGTGACTTCCTGTCACAACGAGAATCTTTTACATTGAAAATCATTCATCTCCTTCTTTTGTTTATGCGACAGGATGACTGGGGTGCTACTTAGGCCTTCATCAAGCCCCTGAAGAGAAAAAGCAAACCCCATACCCGGGGCGAGGGGTGGAGAAGGGATGTAACTCTAAGTCCAGGCCTGGATTTCCTGCTCATGGGCCAGGAGTGAGCAGAGAGGCCTCGGCTCCAGGGCCCGCAAACCAGCACTCGAGAGCGAGCAGGAGCCCAAGTGCCAAACCAGAGAACGACGCCACACGGCTTCAACCCAAGATTTTTTTAAATTTAATCTTTATTGTATTTTTTTTCCATTACCATTTAGTCCCCTTATACCTCATTTCCCCCAAAAACCTAAGGTGCTTGAAAAAAATATTTCCTGCAGAACACTTCGTTTTGAGTAGTAACACAGTTTTCAGTGCATCCGTCAGTACGAATTGGAAGTGTACATCTGCTAGTACAACCACTTCGGAAAACTTGGAAACCTCTCCCCAGTCTGAATGCAGGCAGCCCAATGACTGGGCCCCTCGACCCCACAGCTACACCCCACAGAACTGCAAACACACGTCACAAAAGACGCCTACAAGGACACTGTGAGTGGCACTACTTGTCATCAAAGACAGAGGAGGGCCCAGGACTTGAAGAAACAGGGGGACAGGGCTGCAGGAGCTCAGTGGGAGGGGCTGTCCCAGGTACAACACACAACCCAGACTCCGCTTTTTAGTAGCGTGGCACATTAAACTACAGTAACAGAAACAATTCCACACCACGCAGAGAAAGCAATGTAGTCAGATAAATCACGGACACAGCGCACGGGAAGTGAGAGGCGCCTTTCAACTCACCGAGTGCCAACACAGGCAGCTGAGTGTTCATCGGTGAGGCATGACGATTCCATATCTGTGTGCACTGCAAAAAAAAAATTGTTACAAAAAATTTTTAAATTTTTTTGCAGGACTTTTAAGATCTACTCTTTTAGCAACTTCCAAATATGCAGAACAGTAGCATGAGCTGTAAGTCACCATGCGGCACGTGATGTCCTCATGACTTAACTACTTTCTAAGTGGGAGTTTGTGCCTTCGGACCCCCTTCGCCCATTTCTCCTTCCCACCCCTGGCCGCTGGCAGCCACCAAACCACCAATCTGTTCTCTGTATCGATGAGCTCGGTTTGTTACTCTCGTTATTTTAAATTCTACATGTAAGTGAGACCATATTGTATTTGTCTTTCTCAGCAACTAATTTTTGATTGGGAGTTAGAGGCCTTAGGGAGAAGTAGCAATTGAAAAACAGCACTTCCCTTTTTTCAATAAGACAACCTGGGAATACGTAACTACAATTGTAAAATCGTTGTTTGATACTTTACTGCCACTTTGGGGTCTAACAGTCTGGTATTCGTATCAGTGCTATTTATAACAATGGAAACACGAGAACTACTGTAAGACAGTCTTTTCCTTTCTAGAATTTATACGTAGACCACACCAATTCAAATGTGAAACAACATTGAATTAGAAGTAGAACAGCAAATAATAGATAAGCACTTGCTACAATCAGATACAGTCTCAGTAGAGACATTGTTGAAGGCAGAACATAAATTCAGAGGAGTGAAAACAGCTTATAACAAAGTGCTCATTAGGCTTCTGGTGGATGGGACTTAAATTCTCAGAACACGGCCTGTCTGTCTGGCAAGCACTACGACAGAGCAAGGAGGACCAGATGGGCACAGTAATGGGTCAGGGCTGGCAGAGGAAAGAATACCTAGGATAGGATTACTGATGTCCCACCTTTGACACTCAGGGCCGTCCAACTGGCCAGTTGGGCTAGACCTGGCCCACATGCACTTAAGAGAATTGCATGCCACCTGGTGGCTGCATCTAAAAATTACAGCGTAGTAGATTCCTGGAGGTCAGACTGGGAGAACTAAGGAGCTGACCACCATTTATTTATTGGTAAGTTTTCTATGCACCCAAAAGCATCTTACCTGGCTCCTGGCTTATCTTCGCCATTTCCTAAAACCCCTACTGCTTCCTCTCCATCTCTGTGAGGGTTCTCGGTCATTCCTTCCCTCACCTCCAATCAGTGGAATCTCTCTATCATCTTTCCTCTGAAAATGCCACATGCAGGACACAATGCTACCGCACACGAACGACCAAGAGTCAGCCCAGGGTGAATGACTGGAAAATAATCCCCCTGCCCCAGCACCTTCTCTAACCTTCCCCAGAAACATAGCTCCGTGTTTTATTATTAGACAATAAAAAGACGTTGCCAAAGATGGGTCACATTCTGATTCACTGTCCTTTTTTCTTTTTGACGGCTCATTCATTCTAGAACGCTGTCCCCCATCACTCCACCAACTATCGATGGTCCTGTGGGATATACCCAGGGCAATTAACATAGCAGCATTTCATTTCAAGTCTATTTTTGTTACTGTTATTCTTAGTACCCTTCAAGAGAGATCCATCTGCTTAAAAGGACAGCCCCCCCCCCCACCCGGCAGACGACAGGTCCTGATTGGCCTTTCAGAGGCATTGGAAAGGTGAGGAGGGTCTCTCTGGACAGGGACTGCTGGATGCTGGCATCGACTCCCATCGTCCCCGTGTGACTGCCCTTTCTGCTGGCCTCTGCTCCCTGGTTGGTCAGCTGACCATGCCTCATCCGTGGGTCAAGAGAGTGAATGAGTCACAGCAGGAGCTCAGCAAACACCAGTCCCTTCCCTTCTCATCCTTTGCACCAGCATGCTCGTGTGAGGGCTGGAAATATGAACCAGAATGGCAAATACCACTGCGACAGAACGGGAATTGGGGGGAGAGCACGTGGAGGGGGAGGCGGGAGGTGTGTCAGGCTCCTCCTTCCCACCTTCAGGTCCACCGGGGCTTCGTCAAGTCACAGGACCTGAGCACTGGCTCTGCCGCCCCATCCACCCTGACACCCGTCCCCTCAGAGGTGGGGCGCCCATCAGTCCTTCGGGCCGTCTTCTCCCAGCCTGGCCCTGTCTCGGCCTCATCAAGAAATGTTTTCAATCCCCTTTTCCTGAACCCAGCTGGCCACAGCATAATTGCTTGCTTTTTCCAAACTCATTGAAATTTAGAAAATGTACGCAAAAAAGAAACCTGAAAACAGGGACATAAAAAGTTCAGAAAACGTATGACATCCCTCTGTGAAGTCCTCCACTGAACAGGATGCCAGCACGTGGGCTATTCTGTGGCTGCCCCGAGATCCTCACTGTGCTCGTCAGTGACCAAAACGTCAGAAGACAGTTAACGCCTCCAGGAGTGGGACGAGCTGACAGCCTGAGTTTCCCGAAGGCACACGCGCCAGGCAGGGTGCTCTGTTTGCCTAAAATCCACGATCCAATCAGGAGCAAACACAGCACACGCCCAGACCGAGTGGCATTCTACAGAAGGACTGGTCTGTACGATTACCGAATGGCAGGGCCCAAGAGATAAGCAAAGGCTGAGGAGCTGTTCCCGATGAAAGCAGACTACAGGGTCATTTCGAGGCAAGCCGCAAAATTTAAATAAGGACTTTATATGAGATAATAGTATTACATCAAGGTTAAATTTCCTGAATTTCATAACTGAACCACTGTTAAACAAGAGAATGTCCTTATTCTTGGAAGACATCTGCTGAAGTGTTTTGAAGCAAAGGGGCACAATCATTTAGAGGGAAAATAATGAAATATTTTCCCTCTAAAGAAAGACTGTCATAAAGTCAATGTGAAAAATGTTGAAATCGAGGCAAAGAGAATGTGGGAGTTCTTTGCAGTATTCTTGTCACTCTTCTGTACGTTTGAAGTTCTTTCTTAACAAGGAAAAAGAAAACACAAAAACTCTAGTGTCTTCCACTTCTGTGTTTTGGTCGACTTTTCATGCAAGTAAGAAAAGAGTTTCCACCTACCTCTTACAGCCATTTCATTTTTAGGCTGAGGTCATTGGGATTATATTATCTGCTGACGTAGCCAGGCAGGGTTTTTCTCTTAAAACAGGCAAGGCATTGATCTGACTCATTGGTCGTCCTGATTCACCCTGAAGCGCTCTGCCCACTCAGTCCAAGGGAGGGTTTGCCAATCTGTGTTCACACATAATAACATGACTAATGGTCAGCTGACCGATCAGGAAGTACGAGCCAGCTTATGGGTGAAGCACTGAGCTACCCTTTTCATCGTATTAGGACATCTAATTCTCCCAACAATCCTATGAGATAAGTACTATCATTACACCACTTTCACGAATGAAGAAATGGGGGCACAGGGAGGGTACATAAATCTCACAAGGCCACAGGACTGCTCCATGGACAAATCGGGGACTGACATCATTCTGCCCGACCCCAGCATCGACTCTCCACCACTGTGCTGCTACTGAACCGTGGCTCTCGGGTGGACTCTGGTCTTCAGGGACAGGATAGCGCCGGCGAGAAGACCATGAATACCCAGGTTCGGGGGGAGAGGGCCCCAGGCAGACGGAAGCACGTCAGATACCACACCAGACTCTTGTCAGAGCCAGATCATAGGATCCTGCAGCGAGAAGCAAGGGTGCATTGGAAGCATTTCTTGAATGTTGATCTACAAGGTCAAATGCCCCTTTACAAGGTCATGCTTGGTCCTAGAGACTGAAGCACCAAGTCACATGTAGCAAGAGTCCTAAACCCAGGGAGGTGGCTTCAACAGGGCCTCGCCACTGTCGGGAGAGAGCTATCATTCACGTGGTGAACATTTTCCAGGCACTCATGACAGGCACTGGGTCACAGTGGAGAATGGTACTCCCGGACCTCAAGGCGCTTTGAGAAACAAGCCACATTCACCCGACTGTCAGTGAGGAACCCCTGAAGCAGGATCCTTCACGGCTCCTCTGGTGCAAACACCCTGGAGTGGACTCACGTCCCCCAGAAGACCTGCAGGCAGAGTTCCTCAGGCCCTGAACACCAAACTGCACACACAGGAAAGGCATCGGTCTTAAGGGAACAGCTCAATGACTGTATACTCACCCTCACGGTGCTTTCAAAGCTAACCCTGAATATAGACAGGAGAAAAGATACGCAAGCAGAATAATAGCCCCCAAAGATGTCCACATCCTGACCCCCAACACCTGTGAATAAACATAAAACTTACAAGGCACTTTGTAGGTGTGATTAACTTAAGAACCTGGAGATGGGGAAAGAATCCTGGACTATCCAGGTGAGTCTGATCTAATCACACGGCCCTTTCTCCGCCAAGTTCACAGTCAGAGGGAGATGTGACTAGCGAAGAATGGTTGCAAAGATGCAACACTGTTAACTTTAAACATGGAGGAAGCGGCCACAGCCCAGGAGTGGCAGCTGCCTGCAGAGGCAGAAAAAGGCAAGCAGGAGGATTTTCCTCCAGAGCCTTCGGAAAGCAACTCGGCCCCTGACACCTTGATCCTCGCCCAGCTGGACCTTTGTCAGCTGCTGACCTACAGAACTGCAAGATAATAAATGTTTATCATTTTAAGCCACTAAATGGGTGGCAATTTGTTACTGCAGCAACAGATATCTATTGCAGTGAGAGGTGATGCCACCTTTTATAAAGCTGAAAGGATGGGATACTAGTGTTCCCTTTCTCTTCCCTAGATCTTTGACTGTCGTAGCAGGAAATCAATAGGTGAGATCCGAAATGAATCAATCGAAGGCAACAGTGTGGCCTATTCTTTCCACGTGGAGATAGATGCCAGAAGGAATGTTTGAGTGGAGTGAAGTGGATGACCGGGGCAGTGAGAGGAACAGACCGGGCAGGGATCTGATGTTTTCAACGCTATTAGCGTCCTCTTTAAAGATCTAAGTGCAAGAAAGTGTTGATTTTTAAAATGCTAATGCAGTGTAATGAGGCCGGGCCACCCGTGGTATAGCGGCTCACCACCTAGTGTCTAGAGCTGCTCGGGTTCCCCAGTAGCCACTA